TAAATGGTTTGAAACTCCATGCTTGACTGAAAAAATCAACTTCACGATTACACACTCAGCTAATTCATGGTAATAATGATGACATGCTGAAAGAAATTAGAAAGGCTCTGATAGCAGGCAATACAATAATAATAGAAGATATCGGTGACTTCTGTGCAGACAAAATATATTCATCAACATTAGTGACTGCTTTATGGAACATCTGTAAGAGGAAGCATAAAGTAAACAAGGAGCTTTTGAGTTGGTCCTTAAGAGTGGCTACAGTCAGGCTTAAATGTTATTATTCTTTGAATATTCTCTTGATTATGGCTGCTTTTAGCATCTCTGCAGAAACAATAAAACCCTCCAAAAGGTGCTGTGATAGTGTTTCATTTAAAAATGGGAAACTATAAAAGCATGAGGAAGGTTATTAAAAAGAAATGAGAAGGGCAACCAAAAGGAAACAGAGACTGCTAATTACAAGAATCAATCATATTCTGAAACATGGATATTCTCTAATGATATAATCTTTCATTAGTGAAGGTTAATTTGATTTTGAGTCTGGTGTTCAGCAAAGTGAGTGTAGGGGTGTTGGGAAAGAGAAAGCTGGGCCCATGGCTGTTGGATTCTGAATCTCATTGTGCTGCAAATTGTTTGATTATTCAATTTTTCAATCAAATTTTTAAAAACATCCATCCTGATATCAACATGTTATCCATATCAGGAGTGTGATTCTGTGTAGTGATTCTGTGTAGCCATACTTAAGTGAGCTGACTAGGATACCAAAGGTAAGAGTGCTTATGTATCTGTCTTTTAGCTCTAATTTGAATAGCTTTTAAAAACAGACTTGCAGACACAGTTCTGTGGAATAAATACAAATAAAAAGTTTCATAACAGCTCTATTGGACTAGACAAATACAGAATAAAGTTCTGTATCTGCCTGTAGGTCAAAAAAAAATCAGTCTATCAGAAGGACCAGAAAATGGGGAAAAAGATTAAGTTATTATTGAAATCATAATTGGACTTTGGGACATGATTAAGTTTTAAGTTTTAAAAATCATGATTTACTTTGATAACCTCCTGATTTGAAGTTAATTATTGAACTTTCAGTATTAATGGCAGAAAACTGTAACAACTCCAGAGTTTACATCAACACAACATGTGAGGAAAGTTCTGTGATTAAAAAAAAGTGCATGAAAGTGGAATTCTCTTAGTTCTTAATATTGGGCTTTATTTTATCATTCTAGTGCAATAACTCTGACTCTGCAAGTAGCTGAACTGAAAAATGGGCTGTGAATTTTGCAAATTATAAGGCTAAGGTGGGTATTAACTGGCGGAATCTGAACTTTGGAAAGAATTATGTTAAATCCATCATTTGACTCTTTCTTTCATAATAATTTGTTAAAAAAAGATTTTACGTGTTTTTTGATGTTATTATATTGATCCATACTGAACAGCAGTAATCCGTATAGGCTGTTTTGCAGTAATGCAGAATATTAGTGTATCATAAATATAATATTATTTACATTTGTATGAAATATTGGCATATGTGTGTCTTTTCAATAACTTTGGCATATAAATAAAGGCAATATATATGCAATGCCTCTTCAAAGACCAAAAGTTTGCTTGCATACTAAGAAGAAAATAAGTGGTAAGATTTAAATAGGATCAGCAGCTACTCACTGTCACTGTTGGAATACCTTGTATAATTCCAGAGCAGTTGCTTTTACAAAGAGTTAACTTGTTGAAGTGAGGAAATCTTTATGGAAATGCTGATAGAACAATAACTGGAAAAGTCACACTGTGTTAAAAAACAGGAAAAAATGCATAAAAAGGCACTAAGTATCCTACTGAAGGCATCTTATTTTATGCTATATTCCTACATCTCTGAACTTTTACCATCAGACATTTGCAAAGAATTTCTATGTCTACACACAGAGCTGGTTGTATAATGAGGCAATCTTGGGATTGGAAATTAAGTGCCAGTATACATGAACTATTTCTTTTGCATGTTAAGAACTGGTAGGAAGGGACAGGGGGTCTTCAATAGCCAGGGCCAGATGGCATAAATTCTGCCTAAGTTACTGCCTTTAATATGTCCAAGAACTGTACCACAGCGAGTAGTCACAGACAGAGGTAAGACATATGACCCTTTTGGATAATTACCAGTGGCAAGGGCATAATGGCTCCAGAACTATCCCTCATTCAGTTTATCTTAGGCTGTTTTAAAAGCTTATCTCCATGGAGTAGCTAAAAGAACTATTGCACTGGAAGCAGTGTAACTGTGGTACTGTGCAGCATGAGCTACAGAAGATAGAATGAATGAATGAATGCCTTTGAAGCAGTAGTGTAAAATCTGTGCAGCTTGATACTTGGGCTGGTTTGGTTAAAGCTACCTGTGGCATCTCTGCAGTAGACTGCTAACAGCCTGTTGGGAAAGAAAGAGAAAGACCACCAGGAAGGGGTTTTCAGAACTGTGAATAAATCCACATAAATTTGAGTCTATGTTCAATGACCAGGTGGTCATACAGCAGTATTGAATACATTCATCCTCATCTCCAGATGAGCACACTCCACTGCAGGAACCACCTACTCCATGGAAATCGGTGTCAGCCCAGTGCACACAATTTGGCCTACATGATGTGAAAGGAAACGTACTGCCTTGACCTCTGCTCAGTGATGTCTAGAATCACAGTGACTCATTCATACTCTGTGAATGTCTGGATGTTCTAAAATGATCAATGGAGCATATCACAGCATACTTTTTAGTGAGTTTGAGTTGCAACCCGTGAGTTTTCAGTTTTGGGATGTTAACAATTTCCACTACTGAATCATCTCATACAACCCCATCATTTCTGTTCCCTCAGTAATTTTTTAACTAATTTGTGGGGTTTTTTTTGTTTTTTTTTTTTGTTTAATTCTAGGTGAACATGAATGTTTAAGAATGGGTTTACTGGGTCAAAACTAAAGCACAGGGACCTGTCTGAAGCACTGGCTGAAGTTTCACAGAAATGGGAACCAAAGTTTAAAAAACATCCACCCAGTAGATGTGTGCCTTGGAATACAGCAGACTGTACATGTAAGGACATTCCTTGGGATTCACTTTGACCTGCAGTTTTCCTCTTGAACCTGCAGAATTGTTCTGCAGTAGTAGGCAGGAAATGGTTAAAGATGCTGAATGAATCAGGTGTGATTTGGTATAAAAAGAAAAGGAATAACAATTTGAATAGGGAAGGAGGGCTAGACTGCTCTTTGTTTTACAAGATGCTCCTTGGTACAACAGAGAGCTCTCCTGAGCACAGCTGTGGCATTGCTCACTGTGCTTTCCCAAGGGAAGATTTTGATATGCCTCTGGGGGCAGGTGAGCTTGGAAGATGTGGAGGGGTGGAAATCGTGATTTTTTCAGGGGATTGTCAGACAAGAAATAGATCAAAGTGAGCAACAGCAGTAATAGATTCACTTCTGAGCATCACTGTGTCACATTGCTAAACCAAGGAAAACATTTCTAATGTATTTGTATATGACCATTGCACTTCAGTGTGGAGCAGAGCTGTTCTTTACTTTACTCTGGAAATGCACCCTTTGGATTCCCAGGGAACTGTATTTATCTTTGTTTCCGGTTTCCTAGAATAAATTTATGAACTTTCAAGGTGGTAAGTACTACATCTCTCTGGATGTTTTTGCCAGAACAATGAAAAAACCTTACTCAAAGCATCCAGGTAACTGCTCAGATAGTGATGTGATCAGCTGCAGCAATAACAGTTAAATCCTCAACATCAGTTAAAAACCTTTTATCTTTCTGAAGGACCAACACAAAACCATTATTATGAGCTTGTCCACAGCATAGAGAAGAGGTACAATAACATGTTTCCCAATCTTTGCACCTGGAAGTGAGAAGGTGGATTGAACCTCATAAAAATCTTAACTACCATCACCAAATCTTAACCTAACATCACCATTAATCTTAACTACCAAAGGCAGAAAGTGCTGCAGTTCTGCCAGGTCAGTTCAGGCAAGATGCATAATGGGATTTGGATATGTAGAAAAGAGTTTTATGAGTGATTAGAGTGTATTGCTAAAAGGAATATAAAAGATCTGAAGTACAACATGGTCTGGTTTTCTGAATGAAAATTCAGGAACTCATTGGAGATCTAAAGCATGGGGTAAGTCACCTCTCCAGTACAGCAAATGTGAAAATTATCATAAAGAAAGGAACATTTGCCAGGGAAGACTCACATCACCTTCTGAGAAATGTGGTCCATCAAAGCACCTCTGTTCAAAATCAGACAATAGTTGTCCTATTCTATTATTGTCAAGAGCACAAAGGTAATTTTTTTTTCCTGTTCTGTTTTTTTTTTCACAGTCACAGAGGCTTCCTTTGCTGGAAGTAATCAGAAAAATATCAAGCACTTTGAAACCATGTTCTTACCAGACCTCTGGATACGTACAGATGACAATGTAAATGGTCTCATTAGTTAAAATCAGGAGGAACCAAGTAACTCAGAGCTGTCTGTGGGAGCAACTATTAAAAACAGAGTCTGAAGTGATTTCTGAGGAGGAGGCAAATGCCTCTGCCAGCTGCAGAAATACAGATAGAAAGTAAGTTTGAAATCCTCTCCCTCCACACACAATCTCTACAACTACTTATCAGTATGAATTAGATGACATTGACTGAGGGACAGATACTGTTTTCACAGGTGGGGAAGCAAAACCCTGAGCAGTGGCTGCTGTTACTGAATTAGTATAAGATGGAGCACAAAGAGCCACTGAAGTCAAACGGAGAGGAAATGTAAAAGAAAATGTGAGAGTGAAAACAATGAAAGTCTAAAAGAGAAAGACCAAAGACAGGGAGAAAAACTGTGTGTTAGGGAGAGAACTTACAGAAGTACAGAGGAGCACAATCAGTGATCTATTGAGAGCTCTGCCTCTTGTTACTTTATGATTGTTTCCTCTGTATTTTTATTTCAGCAGAGAATTTGAGCTTGGCATTTCACCCCAAAACTTTTCCTTTCTTTTCTCACCTGTCCACAGCTATTGCTGTCATGGAGTAGATGCTGGCGAAGACAGCTGTAATTGGGAAGAAGTTGTGGAAGCGGCAGTAAGCCTCTCCAAAGTACCATTCACTGTGCAGCGCGTAGATGAAATTGATGAGAGTATTAAAAGCAGCCATGGAGGCATCGGAGAAGGCCAGGTTCACCAGGAAGTAATTGGTCACTGTCCTCATGCGCTTGTGAGCCAGGATAATCCAGATGACAATGAGATTTCCAAAAACAGCCACTGCCACCACACCACCATAAGCCAGAGACCACAGGGCAATGCGCCAAAAGGGTTGCACAAATTGGTTGGAGAAGTTGGCTGCTGAGGATGCTACAGGGTGAGAAGAGTTTCCAGCTGATGCTCCCAGTTCCTGTCCCCAGGGATCACCCGCTGCAGCAAGGCTAATGTTCCACCTGCTGCTCATGCTCATGTTCCCGTTGGCTGTGGGGATAGAAGTCATCTTGGATGTTCCTCTCCTCAGTTCCAGAAATGATGTGCCTCTCCCAGCCCACCAAAATCACCACAAACAAGTAAGAAGAGGAAAGAAAGAAAAAAGGGAGTGAGGCAGCACAGCAGACAGTGGGAATGAGAAACCTGCCAGAAAAGCTTTGGCTACTCTGTTCAACTGTTATACCAGCTGAGACTGGAGAGCTGCCTCTGGGTAGAGCAGCATCCTATTGCTCCTCTCTACAGCCACCTCTTGCTTTTGATTTTGCTGAAAGAGAAGCTGACTGGGAGCCAAGGCACATTTTATAGGCTTGTGAGTACCCAGCGTCATGAAGGGAGTGGAGCAATAAGCTTCATCGGCTGGTAAGATAGCACCTCTTTGTTCTCCCTCCTCCCCTTTTATTTCATTCATTGACAGCAGCAGGCACTTTCAGGAGCTGTGAAGAGCACCACAGGGAAAATGAATTCTCATCTTGTTTATGTTGAGAGATTTGTTTTATATTGCCTTTGTTTAAGTTTTAAAATAGTCTTTTTGCCCTTTCCTTGCAGGGCTAATTAGTTGAACATCCCAGGGCTGAGGCTGCTTTTGATTAAAGCTGTTTCCTGAATTCCAGAGGAATTCAGATCTGCTTTTTTGCTGCTCTCTATTATTTAGTACACACTTTCTTTTTAACCATTCCATTAACTACAGGTTTGGAATAGTGACTCCTTTCAGATAGATAAATACATCCTGCTGCTAATTTCACTTTTCAATCTGTAACATGTAATTGACATTTCTGTGGTTTAAGCCCAGCTTAAACCATGACCGACATCAAGAAACATTTATAAAATTATAATGTGACTTTTTCTTACATGCCTGTAAAGGCATTTGTGTGTTCATCAGACACTGGTTTTTGTTGAAACACTATGCAGCCCTAAACACGGATGTCCCTAAATATGTGTAAAATGGTAATGGTTTGTTTTCATTGTATCTTTGCAAAAATTACTTTTTTTAGTTCTTTTTTACTTATCTGCATTTATTCTACACTTCATACTATTATTATTTTGAGCAAACATTATTTTCATATGTGGTGATTTTTATGCTGGTAAAAGAGGGTAAATGAGGAAATGTAACACCTGATGATTTCACATCTGAGAAATCAATTTTCTCATTAACATGTTAACAACAGCTGGCATTGGGGATGCATGTTTTATGCAAGGGTTGATTGCAGGGGACTTCAACTAACAAATCTTTGTTATTCGATAAGCTGCAGTCTTTGGGGAGAAAATGCGGTTTAGTGCAGATCTGCTCCATGCTTTAACAGTTTAGAGCTACTACGTGTCATCAGCTGATATTTCAGCTGTATCACAGGAGTGGGAGCTATACAATACTCCTATCAACAATGACACATTTACATTTTTTTAAACAAAAGCTTCATACAAAAATCAAATATTCCTGTGTTCCACTTCGTCCCTGCTGTATTTACCTAGTGTGAATAGTGCCTGCACTTTAATTGTCAGGTCTGCACTACACTTTTAATTTGAATGACGGCAACTGTGGCCATTTCTGTATGCTTCGCAGTTCTTACCACCTGCCATGATCCCAAGCAGCAGCCCATCCCAGGCTGAGAATCTCTGCTGAAAACCACCCTTTGCTATAGCGCTTGTGGAACCTACCCATGTGCTGCAGGTCCTCATCACAGGAAAAACACTGGAGTTAATCCCACAGTTCCGTTTCAAGACCCAAGTCTTCCATCTGTATTGTCTTTAATCCTCTCCCTGGAGGTGAGTCTAAAGAAGGGAATAGTAGTTCACACACTGTTTCCCAGCAGTCTTTGTGCCCTGTTCTCAAGAGGTCTCATAGTAAGAAGCAAAGTCAGCAGAAGCTGTAGTAGTGCTGAGGGAGTTGAACCACGCTGTAAGTTAGCTCTCCAGCAAACTGTGAGGTATATTTTTCTGCCTTTTGGATGTGTGTGAAGGGGACTTTGGGAAGGCAGTAAGGAATAAGCAGTTGAGTGATTCAGGCACTCTCCTCTGGTAAAATCACTGGGGTGCTGGCCAGAGGCTTAGTAGCTAGGGCTTCTTGTTGTATCATGTCATCTAAAATAGACCAGTGGGATAGACTGAGAGAATCCCTTACCTGGGAAAAGGAGTCTGACTTGTAATAAATGGTCTAAACCAGAGACAAAATCCAAGAAATTGAATTAACTGTGGTGAAGAAAATCTCTGTGAGTTTGAGTGTTGAAAGGGTTCAGATGGGGATTCCAGTAAGTGAGGACTACTGAATTGACTAGTTATAGCAGAGACTTGGACATTCAGTTATTGACTCTAAGAGCTTCACTCAAGATTTTCATATGGCTGTGAGTCAGAAAGCACAAACTCAGCCCTGTGCCCTATACCTTTCCACCCTTATGCCCAAACTAGGAGCCTCAGACTCTAATGAGTGTTTTTCACATTCCCAGGCTAGTGGGACCTTATTTCTTGCACACAGTACTGCCAACAATGCAGCAGAGTGCAAACACACAGGAACAGCATACTGTTAGCACGTCCAGTAACTTACCCTGTACAGAAACATGAAGGATCTGTATTTAAACTACTTACTCTGTACAGTTCATGGAGTCATGTCCTAGTCATGTGTTGTAAATTCTGTCTCAGTGGCGAGTTCCCCTGAAAAATGTTCAATGTGCGGTAATCTGGCCCGATGCTGCAAATTAGGGGCTGTATTTTGGCTATGAGAGCAGGAGTCTGAGTTCTTGTTTCTCTTCTCACAGGAATGAAGTTTGGTCTAGCTCTCTGTCCTGGAAAACTGCTTGTCATTGCACACTGGGTGTTCTGGAGAAACCAGTCCCATGTTTCCTTCCCTAATCCTTTACAGTGCTGCCAAGAGAAATTGTTCTCAATGGATTCCTAGTCACAGTGAGAAGTCAGTACTGGTCAACATCACCTTATACAGGCAAAGCTATAGGTATATTGAGTCCTTCAGACTTTAAACAAAAACCAGGAAGCTTTTTGTAGTCTGTGTTTGTGGTATGTCAGCCAGACCACCAACACAGTATGTGACAAAAGTGTCCTGTCTTCCTCTTCAGGGGTATGCTGAGGACACTGAGGAACTATCCCACTCCTGTAGGGAATATAAAGTGTGCTTTTCCCCATTCCTCTGTGTGTGAAGAGAAGAAAAAATGTCCTTTAGCAACAACCTCAGTTTTTCACTAGTCACTTGCTCAGTAAGCTGGATGTTATTTGCTGTGTTGCTGCAGGTATTCAAATCTGGAAGAAGAGGTGGGTGAGTATCTGGAGCTGTTTAGTTTTAAGAAGTGGAACACTAAACAGTACAGGGAAAATGTTGGGCAACTGGATCAGCCTTCTGTAGGGAACATTTATGATTCCTTTTGGTGATTACTAGAATAAATGTTCTGTGCTCTGGTTTTCATTCTTATTGAAACCCTAAAGGAGCAGTCTGGTACAATCAATTAGAGCAAAACCACATCCTCCTACGTCAAAAAGACTGCAGTAAAGAAATAACTTGACCTACCCTTTAGCACCTGTCTTGCTACCATTTTATTTAAGGAAAGAGGTTAAGCAGCCAGTAATTGGCTTTTGCCTAGAGAGGAAATATACTTGGACAGTGAAGTCAGCTGTGTTTCTCCATCAACATTTGTATCGATTATACACTTACTGATTGTTCAGCTGAAGGTCATTAGCATTCAGTTTCTCAAGTAAGTTTCACAGCAACTTTAGTGAAAGCATTTCTGTTAATAACTTCTAAGTAACAAAACCTACCTGTCTGTGGTGAAACTTACGCAAAGGAGTAGTACAAAAGACAAAGATCTGTGTCTTTTCTCAGTCCTTGTAGAAAAGTGAGGTGGTTGTAGAAGGTAAACATTCTGGCATTTTCTTCTAAAACCAGTACAGGTATGTGGTTTCTTATGCTAGCTTTTGGCCATTCCAGGTTATGTATATTTGCAGTAGGAGTATTTCATCTTCCTCTGGTTAAGACTGTACTAAATTTTAGTGTGACTGCTTTCTGATTATCTGCTATTTGCTGTTTTCTTTTGCCTTTCCACTGATAGCTCCTTTGTGCTTGTACAGTCAGCCGTGGTTAAACTTGCTGCTATTAGCAGTTCCCCAAGCTTCACAGAAACACTGAGAAACGTGAAAGAAATATTCAAAGTCTGATCAGGAAAGTAGCTTTGATTGTCTGTAGTTCTTCCTTTATATAGCTTGAAGTTACATTTTCACAGTTCTAGCAAAACCTTTCATTCCGAGCTGAGTAGAAGCTAAGCTTTTGACTTAGCATCTTGATTACAAGGTAGATTTAGAAATTACCCTATTCTTTGCTATTTACGAAACTGTGATTTAATCTTCTATAGGTCTTCTGGTGTACTTGACGTTTTCAACTGATGTCACTCTTCCACTAAATTCTTTTGTGTGGGATGGGAAAGAGAGACAGAGAATATCAGCAGTAGTGTACCAGTAGGGAATTGTAGTAAAATAGCAGTCTGCACGGCATCTCTATTTAGCATGCTTGCTAACTGCATCATTGTTATGTACAGAAGTTCTATTTCACAAGATCTGTCCTCTATGGTTCCTTTTTCATTTTGTTGCTTATAGCACCGAGGGCACTAAGTATGCCTTTGTTTTTTTCAATTTGCTTGCTTGATTAGGCTTACCCTAATGACCTCATTCCCTCCATCCTTCCAGCTGCCATCTAGAAGAGATGATCCTTTACGAGCAGTTTTTAGTTTTCCTCAGCTCCTGTTCTTCAGTCAGTCATGCAAAGCTTTGGCTACAGCAGGAGAATTTTTGCAATTTAAGGATGCTTGGCATTGTCCTCTTTATTATAGCTGCTTGTTAGCATTGTGCTGCTGTCATGATAATGTCATCCTGGATTTTGAACAGTTTGTTTTCATTTGTGTGGCTTAAACACAGCTGGAAGATTCAGTTTGAACTTGATTTCTGATTATAAATGCACAAGTCTTCTTCCTGGCACCAACTGAAAATGACTCAATAGGATAGCAGGCAACTTCACAAGCATGTGAGTAAGGATGTTCTAGTAAAGGGGTTGGACAAAATCAGAAATACTGTATGTGGCCTTTCATAGTAGCAGGAGGGGTGGGGACAATCAGAGTCAAAGACAAATTTTCTTCTGGAGTATGACGCTGAAGTGCAACTTCACTGTTAGCTACTTTTAGAATAAAATGAAACTGGGCAGGTCTAGGGATGAGTAATGAGAAATTAACACTACAAAGAAATAAAGAGTATTCTGAATTATATGTAATAGTCACAAAATATTTTGTGTGAGAAAACTCTGATGAAGGATGAAGAAAGAACCAGGAGGACTTCATCAGCTATTGAGAGTTTGACTTTTCCAATCCTTCTGAAAGGCTAAATACACTTAATTTCCACTGTCACAAGCAGGAGCTGGTCCTCTGTTTTTTAGCTGCTGTGTGTAGGACATGATTGAAGTAGTTGAATAGTTGGTAAGTGAGGTGCTGGTGTCAAAATATAATTTGTAGGTCACAGTTCAGTGAAAAGTATTCATTTGGTTTCCTGGTCAGCTTGGGCTTTGAGAGGAAAAGGCATTATAAGGTTTTTGTTTTTAAAAATTAAGTGGATTGATTCAAGTGGTACTTCTACCTTATAATCATATGTGGAGAGGAGGTAAAGGCAGAATGAAGCGGAATGTGCTATAAAAAACATTTTCTTGGGTTATTGTGATTAGTTGTCTTTCCTGTTATTATTCCTTTTCCTCTTTAAACTCTTTGTTGCAGTCCCTGACACAAAGTAGTGTGAAATCTTTACCAAGTTGGTTGTTTTTTGGTTGTTTTTTGTTGTTGTTGTTTTTTTGTTTGTTTGGTTTTTTTTGGGGGGTGGGGGTGTTTGTTTGCTTGTTTGATTTTGTTTTTTTTGAGGGAGGTGTGGGGGTGTGCTTTTGTTTTGTTTTGGGGTTTTTTTTGGGTTCCCTTCCCCCTGACTGTTGTACATTCTTATTTTCTCCAGTGGGAGACAAAGTATTTGCAATTGTAATTCCAGGCACTTCTGCCTTTTCATCTTTTTCCAATTGCTCAAGTGCCAGTCCAATGTCATAGGTGAGATGAACCAGCAACTTAACATATATGTGTGCACTCCTTCATGTTTCCCCATATTCTTATTTTTTTTTAAATTGCTTTAATGATTCTATTTTTTTAAGTTACAATTATAGCAGTATTATAAGGTCACATACATCAGAGATGAAAACAATGTGTTTTATTAGGTCTTGCATGTTCTGAACCTACATTCTTGAAACTAATGTCTAGCTGCTGTTGCCACCTGAAATTCCTATGGGCCTAAGTCCATTAAAGTCAATAAAAGAGGAACCTACTGGCAAAACAATTTCCTCTGTCTCCTACAAGGCTCTTTCCAGCAATTTGTTTCCTTCCAAACATCCAAATTAAGGGGGATTTTACTAATGTCTTTTCTGTTTCCAGGAGTTACTGAATATATTTATATATAATAACGTACATACCTATTAATACATAATAAAATGCACACTTTAAGGTCTGAAGTAAGATGAGGAGGTGTGCATGGAATCATGGTAACAAGATTTTCAGGTAGCTTTATCACGTAATTCATAGGGCATCGGTGGTGCATCTGTATTTAACTGCTACCTGATAAGTAAAACAAGGAGGCTTCTTGACTTTGCTTTTTCATAACAGGCGAGATTATCTTACTATCACTGTTGTATTAAGAGGCTATTTAATGTTACTTGCTTTCTTCATTGAAGAAGAATTTTTATGGATTGTTCATCATAAAACATTACAGGCAATTACAGAAAAGAAATCTCATCCATTTTAGAAAACTGTCTACTTGGAATGCTCATATGAGACCATATTCTGGCAGCATAGACAAGAATAACAAGCATATAGAAACTCAGTAGAAAAGCTATTTTTTCTAATGGAAGATTTTCTAGAAATATGCCAGCTGTAACTTCCCTCCACCAAGCTTTCCAGAAAACAAATAGTTTTTCCCACAAGTTTGCTGCAATGGTCTGTAAATTGCTGTTCTGTTTCTGCCTGCTCAGTAAACTGTTTTAAAATACATTTGGGATTTATTCACAAGGCCAAAGAAGCTTTCCTGCTACATCTTTCTATATTCCTTAGAGTTTAAGGAAGGAAGAATAGTTGCATTTTGAGGCCTTTTAGAAAAGTACATAATTACGTTCAATATCCATAACCTCTGCAAAACAGATAAACCAGAGCAGATTAAGCATACGGGAGGAATTGAACACTACAAGTAGCAGTAATAATAAAACTCAAAAGTACTATAGCACATTGGATTATTAGAGAAAATATATTTATTTTAAAAGGAGTACAGACTAAACTCTTAAAAGTCACTGTAAGGAAGAATGAAAGGACATGCTGACGCTAGGTTAGGTATTCATGACAATTTCTGAAGTTAATCCAGAAATACTCTGATTACTCTGCTCTAAACTTCTGCCTTTCTAACTAAAAAGCAAAGTCAGCTTTTAATTTTGCATCCAAAAATAAGGTTTTAGTTTCTTTTTTTATCTTGGCTATCATTTAAAATGCTTCAAAGTTCAAAAATGAGTTATAGTGGAAATAGTCCAGGAAGAGCAGATATAATTTAGATTAAGAATCAGGCTGTGATTTCTGTGTTTGTCATAATTCTAGCAGTAATTTGTAGTGTTGAATATATTTTCCTTGCTTTGATCATCTTATATAATAGGATGTGCTAACATCCTTTTGGGGGTCTGATCCATCAAACTCTTACTGTCAGTGACCTCTCTTCCTGTGTGCTAGAGAAAAGTATTTTTTGTGCTGTATCAGCCCTGTTCAGTATTCTTGATACAGCCTAAACCCAGCAGGTTTTGGATTTGAACAGGTGGAAAAAGCTGTATTTACCTAAAAAAATAAGTAAGGAAAAGTATGTTCTTAGTTAATCTGTTTTTTCCTAGAGGCAAAAGACAAAAAGTTGCTGAGTGCTGGAAGCATTGAACTGAGTTTGTGAAGACCTGAGTTCTAGTTTGCCTGTGGCACAGCTCAGCTTGGAGAAATTGGTTTCTGTCTCGACTTCAGAATTCCTCTTCTTCTAATCAGCTTTGTAAAATTCTCTGAGATTACCAGTTACATCAACAAATCATTGCTGCTAATGTTGGAAACCAAATGTCAGTGATTTTGTCACAAGCTTTTCTGTGTATGCCTCTCCTTGCAAAAAATGGGATTGCTTTTTATATGCAGCAAATCATGAAACCCTTCTCCTGTTTTTAGTGTCAGACTGGCTCATTTGGCAGAAAAAGAATCTTTTTGAAAATGATCTGACCTTTCCCAATAATTCAGCAATTTCCAGAAGCATTGTGAAGACAACAGAGAGGAAGGCAATTAATTTTCTGAGGTGAAATGATTTAGACTATTTTTTGTGGATTCACCATATATCACCAGCTGAGTTTTGAATAAGCAGTAGCAAAAAGGGAGGAAGACGCATGAAAGCAAAATGTAGTAGCTTAAGATGCATTCTTTACAAATTACATCATTTATTTAGATAAACTCCAAATATTAACATTTGATGACTGTTTTGGAACTTTGGGGAAGGCACTTAGATTTTTATTATTGTGCCTTTTTTTTTAGTTATTATTAATTCTCAAATAATAATGTAGTATAGAGATTGAATGTAATCAGAAAAAGCTAAGTTTATTTTATGTGAAGATGGATCTTGCATGCTCTTTAGCTGTGCTTTGCTCTGCTGCACTGTACTAGGCTGGACTATGCAGTATTACACTATAGCTAATATTAACAAGAGTTGACTGCAAAATTACTTTCTTTGTATACTCTTTCTAAAGGGACGATCATCTTTCATTTATGAGCTGTAATTACCATCTTGCTTAATCACTGTTTGATTTCTCCATTTATCCTGTC